TAGATATAGATCTAGATATAGATATAGATATAGTATACACACATAAGCACATTATATTTAGCTAGACAGACAAATAGATAGAGGTACAGGTATACATACCTACATATAGATAGATAGATGGATAGAGAGATAAATAGATAGTTAGATAGGGAGCGTCTCGCTACAGGCCCGAGTTTTGAAGATTCTGTTTTCACACGAAAGGCTAGATTTCATGAGTCTCATGTCTGCTTCAATTGCCCATCATGCATACAAGAGAATTTGCAAGACCTCAACCAAACCTATGCTGCATAGCTTGAAATCATGATGCAAAGCTGAAAGCTGTTGCGGGAATACAACTCGCAGATGGTGCCTGCAGCACGAGAGAGCCTGGACCACAAGGCCAAAGAGTTTGGGTCCCAGCGGCAAGGAAGGGGAGGAGACAAAGCAAAAAACAAAAAGCATTGCTGTTGTTTTCTTCGCCCCCCTCCCCCCCTCCCCCCATCCGAGTCCAGGGACGAGCGCAGCCCTCTGAGCCTGGAACCAGGCCTGTAGGGGAGCTTCAAGCTTAAGGCCAAGGAACAAGATCACGAATAAACCTGGACTCAGGACCAAAGAGGAAATGCACACAAGTCTTCATCTCTACCGTTCACCCCTAACAGAAACATGAAGATCATAATACAAGGTTACAAGAACAACTCACCTTCTATATGATCCATATGCGAGCCTGACCCAGACATATGTGTTCATGTTTGTAGGTATGTATGATTATGTATGCCTATATGTACATACAGACTGACATGTCGCATGACAACACATGCGTCTTCGTGTATGGATGTAGCCATACATCCAAACAGCTTTATAAGATGTGTATTGTTGCATTAAATTTGTGATTGAATAAATATCAGGCATCTATGTTTTGAAACAAAAGTTCGAACGAACCCTTAAATTAATGCGAATGTTGGCTTATGTTAACTACATATGTCATTTTTATCATGTTATGTCCACCACATATCTAAAATAGTTTATGCGACTGTAACGTATATGCACTTTTATATAGAAACGTCAGGCACCGAATAGTTAACAGTTTACAGACTGCCGCCATCCCGTTGCAGGGTTTTGTGCTTTTGAGCCAAGCACTAGTTCCTTCGTGTTTTTGGTGATCGAACATTACAATATCAGAAAAGAATGATGGATTCCGCAGAAGACACATAAACCCTGATGCCAGATGCTAGGTGACAAACCCGATTCTTCAGACAACTATCATCCAAACTGTGGGGTGGATAGGTGGCATCTCCCACATCCTATGAGGGAC